AGTGAAGTGCATAATTTCTAAAACAATATGTACACTGTGGAAATACCACTTTAAATCCTGTCAGAAAAATCGGTAAACACACGTCAATTATTTCTTTATATGTATATATACATTTATGCTTCAATATGTGCATATGGGAAGGTATAAGCATGGTCCAGATTGCCTCCTTTCTTTTATGAGTCAAAATATGCACCCTAAACCATGTAAAAAAAAAAAAAAAAAAAAAAAAAAAAAAAAAAAAAAAAAAAAAAAAAAAAAAAAAAAAAAAAAAAAAAAAAAAAAAAAACATTTTTTTATTCACTACCAGGGCTTTACAATTCATGAATGCTTTAAAGAAATTCCGTTACTATACAATTTTTGTAGTTATAACCTGTTCCTTTACTACTGAGGCCTGTTTGATAATGTGGTACAGTACAAGAAGTAATGCTGGAAATAAATATTTTGTAAACTGGTTCTTTTTCTATGGTAATTTCCTAATTGGTAATAATATCTACCCGTTTTCCCCTTTCTTTTATTTTTGGAAATACTCTTTTATCCTAATTTGCTATTAGTAATGTTAATAACATCGTCCCACTCGTGTATAAACTTCCGATGAGCTCAGACCTTTTTTCCAAAGGCAGCAACAAATACAAAGTCGGGTGCCACAAGAGCTACTCTTGTGCCCCGGGCCTCTAGTCGAAAGTAAAATATACAGTAAATATCTGCTCTTTTCAGAATATTGATTTGCCTGCACCTTCAGTACTTTGATATTGTAGGTCACTCGAGATTACAGTAGGCTAAGTCAGCCTCCACCCCAGACCTGCAACACTTTTACCTCAGGGCAGCCTTTGCGGGTTTTAACCACTGGTTAGGGAGGCCCAGTTGTTTGGGGCATCCTTAGGGCGCACTTTTTCTGTAGTAGGAAATATTTTCTTCTTTAATTAATGTGATTTCCCTGAGCTTGCCGGAGTTCCCTAGGGGATCCCGTATTCGCTTGGGTGTGGGCATCGATTTGCCACCATCCGCCGAGGCACGTTCGACGGTAAGGTATCCTATACACATTACTCAATCCCCGATTGGTACTTAATAACGCAACCAGGCCTCCACTGGGTAGAGGATGGGAGACTGCTTTACTCTCTCTCAGGTATTGCTGTTAGGTTGATACCAAAAGTTTAGAGTTTTTAATACTTCAGGAGAACGGCCTGCTACCACGGATACCCCTTCTCTTCAAGGAGGAAAGGTGACCTATGTCCCACCAGAGAATGCAGCGTTCGCGAATGTTGAATGCGTGAATGAAAATCAATCGCTTTTGAACGTGAAACCCGCTATCATCAAAGGTCTTTGATGGTCAAGTGGACGGCGATTTTGATTTTGTCCGGAAATTGCGAGATGGAAACCTCCTTGGGTAAAGTACAATGTAACTCCCAAGATTAAGGGTTTATTAAAGCTGACGCAAATTCCTACCGGCCCAAATACCTGTAAGGGAGTAATCTCTCACAGGGAATTGAGGACGAGGGAAGAAAGCGAAATTCATTCTTTGAAATTTGGAATACCCAGACTTTTTCAAACTCACGGTACTTTACCCACGTTATTCCCAAATTGAAAGGACCCAGACCCGCCATCTCTTACCGCCCAAGTGCGCTGACAACTTGCTTATGCATGATCATAGAACAAATTATTAATAGTAGGCTATTGCATTTTTTAAATTCCAATAATTTGCTAGTTGATAAGCAGTGCATCTTCCGAAAGGGGCGCCAGACTCTTGATCATATAGTAAAGCTGGACAGTCACATAAAGAGACATGCCAAAATGCATTTTCTGATTTGTGTTTTAGATATAAAGAGCCTACGACATAACATGGCGATACGGCCTATGCAGAAAACTGTATACCTTTGGATTACGTGGAAGCATGCCTTGTTTTATTCAAAATTTCATATTTTGACGGAATTTTCTCTGCCAAGTTGTTTTCATTGTCACTTCTTCGGACATTTTTGTCCAGGCAAACGGGTCCCACAAGGAAGTCTCGTCACCAGTGCACGATTAATGACACCTTACTAGCTCCCCATCGACATCTTTAATACTCATTGTACGCTATGATTGTGGATTAAGGTATTCCAGCAATAATGCAGAATTCTCGGAAAATGGCATGCAATTGGCACTGGATGTTTCATAAATGGGGCCTCCAGTGGGGTTTTAAGTTTCTCACGAAGAGTACAAAGGTAATTTTTTTTTACATAGAAGTGAGCCAAACATCAGGCTAACTCTAGACTCACCCATTCTGCTAGATTTCTTGGTCCACTCTTTGATCGAAGGTTAACTTGAAAGGGCCGCATTGGTCAGTTAAAGAACAAATGTCAAAGAGAACTTAATTTATTAATGTACATTTCTGGTAATATATGGAGAGCTGATAGAGTATTTGCTAATGATATGCAAGTACCTGATTAGGTCTAAAGTAGAATATTGTTTATGGTTCAGCATCACTCAAATTTGAAATGTTTGGATGTTATGTAGAATGCTTATTTGTGTGTGTGTGTGCGTGTGTGTGTGTTGGAGCTCTGAAGTGAATTCTAATCGAGCGTCTTGAGGAGTCAGGAGTCCGTGCCCTCTGAATTAGACGCAGCCAGCTGGCACTGACCTCTGCCACAAAGGTGGCTCCAGACCCAAGTCATCCTAATGGTAATGATTGCATTAGACTTACTCACAAGACTCCACGACCTCCCATCGATACCCTGGTTCAGTCAAATATAGCGTCATGAGAACCTCCGATTTCACCATTATGGAAGATTGGCTTCCACCAGCTAAGGCCATGGTGCCTTAAGTGGAAGTACAGCAGAGGTTGAGAGAGATCATTATTTAACATGCTAACAGGATGCCATGATGTAATGACAGAGTAAATAAATAAATAAATAAAATTTCCGTAAAAAGAAATAAAGGATTTATATTAAATCTGCTTGGAGGTGATAAAGAAATAAGTTAAGTAATCACTTTTCTAAGTGAGACAAAACTTCTCTAGATTTAAATAATAAATAGAATCCATTGGATTGACACGTATCACATGGCCTTATGCCGCTGGCCATTAGCCAACAAATCCAACAAGTAAACAAACAACCAAGTTCATACATTGTAAGGTATAGTTTGTTTCCCATAGGCAAATAGCACAAGGTAAATTTTGCTTGTAATGGACAGGACAGCCGAAATTAAGACACTTCATCAATGGTATTTCCCTCGGACGTTGATACATGAACTAATCTGCGTAGACAGAAAAAGTCAGAAATAAAGAAAAAGGCTCGTGATAAATGCCTCGCGGAGAGCAAGTCCACGACGATTGGGTGGGAGAATGGGAGCGCAGCCCCGAATAGGGGAATACAGCGATCAGATGGGATCTGGGGACGAAGCACCTAGGGTAGGATGGCTTTTAGTTCATACGACAATGTTTGTGGATTTCCCACGGGTGGTTGGAGTAATAGGGACTTACCATCTGGAGGGTGCAGTCACTTTGTAAAGTTACCAAAACTCATTTATATATGTTACATTGTGCATAATGAAGGAATAATAATTTCAAGGAATAATAATGCTGTTAAACTAGATAATTACCCAAGATTTACTAAAAAAAAAATTATTATAATGTCTATAATAATAATTATTATTGACAGCATTAGTAATAAAAACATTTTCCTCAAAATCCATGGAAAAGTGAAATTAGGCGAGGAATGAGGTCTACTAATTGGCTCTTTGGTTGCTGAGTACTTATTGAGCCATCTATGTGTAGAGACATGTCACAAAACAAAACTATAGTGAACACTACACTTTCTGGCATCAATGGATTACATACCACATGTTACTTTTTCAAAAATAACCAGTTCCTAATGACCACATCTTGAGAAATACACCATAGTACCATACAAAGTCAAAGAAAAATCTTGATAAAAACAATTTCAAAATATGTGCTGATAATCCAAAGCACTTTTCTTTAATAATGAGGGAGGTAAATTCTTGTCAACATAACTTATATAGTAGTAGTTTGGTGTACACTTTCTATGCAAAAGCCAGCATGAGCTTATAAATAAGCTTGATTTTGGGAAGAATATTCAATTTGTCACAGGCAACGATAGTAAAACTTGTCCCAAAAGAATGTCTTAACTCCTGAAAAAAGTTAGTTGCAGGTATAAAACACTCCTGAAATGACATTTTTCTTCCTTCCTCAATGAAAAATTACATATTGCTTATTTTTTCATTAACCCTGTGGCCACATTGTTTGTGCATCATTATGGAAATACCAATTTTCTTTCTATTTGTTCAAGTAGGAAATGCTATAGTCTTATTTTTGTACCTCCAAAATGCATATACAACATAAAGGTAAAGCATCAGTCAAAAAAATGTTAAAGTTCTTATTGCGTTTTGAGAATATACATGTACCTATAATAAAAAATATAGTACTAAGTACACATGACTTTTATATATGGAAATAATTATAGAAAGCATACAATGTTAGAAAGCCTTCTCTTTCAATATACTCTATTTTTTTCATATGAAATTTCTTTACTTTTTAAAAATTATTTACCTGTTAAATTATGTATTTTTGGAAGACAAGTTTGTGCCAAATGTCGGCAAGCTATTTTATTTTGTTTTCATACACAATTGAAATTTACTTAGTCCTTCTAAACAAACTTGATCTCTGGTAACCATATATATGAAGGTTATCATGACCTTTCTTTTAAAAGGAAGTTTTAAACTGACTATACAAAAATATGTATGCTATCAATTACTTGCTCTTATTCTTAACATTAACAAATAATAACTAAGAGAATGCATACAAATTCTCATTCTACCATATCAGTGTTCTGAAAAAAAAGTTACTAAAAATAAAGCTCGAAACTTTGCATTCAAAGATGGTAAGATGGATGCGAGCTATGATTATCTTAAGAAATGTTGCTTATATTTTCTGGTCCATTTTCAGTTACAAAATAAATTTTTAGAATATATAAAACTGTTGTCTGCAACTATGGCAATTATTATTATTATTTTTTTTTTAACAAAAAATCAATTAGTTTACCCCAAAACAAAAAATGTGCATTTTGAAAATTATTTCAAAGACTTTACACCATATATTTTTATGATGTGTGCTTCTGTAAAATCTGAAAAAAAGTAAATGTATTCTTTGATATGACCATGCTGATAGTTGTTCATGCTTTAAAGATAAGGTCTGCAATAATAAGAACTTTAAAAATAAGTAAACAAAATTAGGAAACTGTACTTTAATATGAAAAAACTCACTGGTATATCACACAAATATTAACAAAGTACAACTAATTATATATACTACTGGCATAATAATTCTCTCTTACATTAAGGAGCTAAAATGTGTACAGCAATATAACTTCATTCTTCTCAATAATTAAACAGCAATAATCATACCATAGTTAAAGAACTTAAAAGATGTTTTACATTGATGATAGACGTAACTAGAAACCTCACACAGTATACCAGTAATAACTATTTGTAACAATACACTGTTTTGTACAATAACAATGAGACTAAAACAAGCAGAACTAATTTATACTTTTCTTTCAGTTTACAATATATAAAAACACAACTAATTAAAATCTAGAATCCACCTACATTTCAAATATTATTATAAATAATTTACTTGATTTTACTTAATCTACTCTGATCCAAATCTCATCTTTGAGAGCAATCCATTTTGCTGTACTTCCTATAAGTGCAAGAGCTTTATACCCAGCCCAAAGTAATATTACAAAATCTTTATTATTAGCTTTTCTTCAGACTGTTTAATAATGTAATGTGAGAGAACTATATTATCTATTTGCTCACTAGAGTTTGGCTTTCAGTCCACTCTTCAGTAGTACATCATGCATATCCATTAAACTTTCCTCCAAAGCTGCACGGAAAGTTGCTGAATCTGTTTCTGGAGACGAGTTGAATGCAGATGTTCCAAATACAACTGAATCTGGACGTGGATTGTAGCAACAGCCGTAGCCATCAGGTACAAGTGGGCCAAAGCACATAAAAGCTTCACAGCGTGCTGGGACCTAAAACATATGAAAATTTATTAACACACTTAAACAGATAATTATTTTCCATATAATACAGTACAGGAGGATATTTACAACCTTAGAAAGAAAGGAAAGGTAGAAAAAATGAATTACTACCTGACTGGTGGAGAGACGCATGTGGGAGCTACGGATATAACCAACATCCATAAATAGAGTGGGTACATCCATGCCAGCTTCAATTGCACAAAGCTTCAAGCCAAGGAGGTGACGGTCAACACCATAACCACGGACAGCCTACAAATACAACAAATAAATACATGAATAAAATTAAAATGTTCTACTTCAGGATACTCTCTCTTATATTTTTCTTTAACAAAATGTTAAGATAAAAGAAAACCTCAGCAAAGACTGACAACACAACTTACATCCTTTGCATAATTCTTGTGTCCTTCAACAGCCTTTCGTAAAGAAGAGGCCTTTTCATCAGCAGAAGCATTCTCATCTAACATTGTCTTGGCAAATTCTACCGACTCTGTTGAGCAAGAGCGGATTGTTTCTGTGCGACCATGGAGGTACCTCCTGGTTGATGCAGACTCATAGTGAGCCCCAGGTTCTTTGTGGATTCTGAGGAGCAATAATAATAATCATTATTAATTTTATTATTATTATTATAGTTATAACTATAATCGTAGTAGTAGTATTTATTATTATTATAGTTATAACTAAAATAGCAGCAGCAGCAGTAGCAGTTGCAGTAGTAGCAGCAGTAGCAGTAGCAGTAGTGGCAGTAGTAGTAGTAGCAGTAGTAGCAGTAGCAGCAGTAGTAGTAGTAGCAACAGCAGCAGTAGTAGTAGCAGCAGTAGTAGCAGCAACAGCAGCAGCAGCAGTAGTACCAGCAGCAGTAGTACCAGCAACAGCAGCAGCAACAGCAGCAGTAGCACCAGCACCAGCAGTAGCAGCAGCAGTAGTAGTAGTAGTAGTAGAAGTAGTAGGAGTAACAGCAGTAGTAGCAATAATAAATGTTATTAATATTTATTATTAATAATTATCATCAATTATCATTAATTAATTATTAATACTATTAAGAGTATTAATAATATCAATAACATTAATGATATTAATCAGTAGTAGTAAAAGAGAAAAAAGGACTAAAAAGAAAAATGAAAAAAGGTTAACATAAAATTATAAGGTATTATGGTAGTGAAAAGGGTAAAAGAAGGGGGAGTAAATGGGGTAGGAAGGGATTAGCAGAAGTGGGAGCAGTTAAGAACGAAAGGTGATTAGATCAAATGGAGGGTTCTATGCACCTGAGGAAGAACAAGTTGTCCAATGAAAAATTAGAGGATTCCATGAAGATGTACAACAGGTTGGGGGATCGGATAAAAGAGGACAAGTGTGGAAAAGCAGAGATATGGGGCTGTAGAAAAGATGAGGCAGGATAGCATGATGTGCAGGACCAAAAGAGGAACATCGCATGAGGAACACAGAGGTGTTATGGAGTGTTACATTAGATACAAAAGTGTACGATAAGTATGATCTATTTGTATGTGGGCAAGAGCACCTTCCCAGCATCTGTTCTCGTGGAATGGAGATGATCAAGGAGAGATGGAAGCTTTAATAGTTTGTGAAAAATGGGACTAGTGGGTTGTGGACAAGGCTTCAAAGCATGCAGAGGGATCTGCTTGTTCACTGTCATGGATCCAGACATGGCTGGGTAGCCAGCAAAGCTTGACTGATTTCTGTCTTGCAGACATAAAACAACTGGTCTTTGATTGTATGAATAATACTGAATTGTGTGAGCCAGTAAAAATGGTGAAGGATGAGTAAGTGACGGAAGACATGCATTGTAGAGCGAAGAGTAAGTTATAGTTCTGTCATAAGGATGCTTGATTCAGGAAGAACAAGAAAGTTGTATACACTAGAAAGAAAGACTACAACAACAAGTATCCAGGAGGGATTTAGAGCCATCTGTATAGACATGGGTACTGGAGGAGTGAGTAGAGATATGTGCAAGAAAATGGGTGAGGGGGACAGGAGGGATGTTTGATTTGGATAGATTAGGGAAAACAGAGCTATTACAGGAAGAAGTTATTAGCTGGGGAGGGAAAAAATGTGCAAGAGGAAGGGATGGGAGATGCAGAAAGCGTAAATGGAAAAGTAGGGTATCAATATAAATAGGAAAAGGTGTAGGTAAAGGTGGAGGAGGAAAGGCAGATTGAGGGGTAGTTAGTTTGGTAAAAAGGTAAAAATGCTGAAAACAAGCATAGAGAGAAATCAATAAAGAGATGGTAGGCCTGATTCAGCGTAGAGGTTCTCAACTGGAGAGGATCAGAAGGCACCTAGTACTAATCGCAGCCCACAGTTGGTGGACTGAGCCAAGGTGAGTGAGAAGGGAGGTGTGGGCAGAATATATGGCAGCCATAATTGAGAGTGGAGAGAATCAGAGTAATATGGAGATACAGGAGAGTTTTGCAATCTGAAACCCAGGGTATATACAAGGGTTTGAAAGAGTCAGAGGTGATGGCGGGCTTTTTCTTTGACAAAGAGAATAGATTCCATCATGACAGTGCAGAGTCAAAAATAACCCAAAGAGCAGAACTGGAGTAGAGCATCATATAGAGGAAGAGGTTGGGGGCCTATACGTGAATGAGAAAAAAAGTATGGAGAAAGTTTTAGAGTGGCCTAAGAGGAGACATGTTATTGCAGACTGGAGAAGCTGACGGAGAGCAGTATGGTAGGATGAGAGACAAAAATGGCCGACTCATACATGAACAGTGATGACCAGATGCCTGATGGTAGGGCTGAAACTAATCCATTTACAGAAATGAAGAATAATGTGGTGCTGAACACACTGCCATGTGGGAAACCTTCAAACTGAAGTAAAGAAGAGGAAGTAGAAGAGCAAATTTTACACAGAAAGTGTGATCAGAAAGGAAGGATTCTATGAACACACCCATGTTTAAGCATATGCCATGAAACCACTGAAGGATCGAAGAAGACAGCTTATACTGAATCATGGTGTGTAAATACTGTTGTCTCAAAATGGGCAAAGGGATAAGCTGTACTTCAGCTGCATAGAAATCCAAACTGATTAGGAGAGATAAGGCAGCAACATTTGTGGTACTATATTAAGCAGCTTGTAAGAGCAATGGGGATGGTAATCCTGAGAAGGGTACCAGATTTATTAGGTTTTAGGAAAGGTACTACATGGGCTTCACACCAGTGGGGAGGCAAGTTTCTACTCATCCAAATGTTGCTGAATATTACTAGTAAGAAGGATAAGGAGGTAGGTGGGAGGTGTTATAACATATGGTAATGTATACCATCAGGGCCTACATGGGTGTTGCAGCATGACTGTAAGGCATAATGGATTTCAAAAAGAAAAAAAGGCATTATAAGGGCATTGTGCTTCCTGTCTGCCTCCAGTAATGTGAGGCCAAGTTTTTGTCTGAGAACTGTTACCTCACACTCAAACTTGTAGCATGGCAGTTCCTATGAAATACATTATGGGAACACCTCAATTATCACATGTACATGATTGTGCAGGGCAATTTGAAGTCATGACCAGGTTGGGCACATAGAGGACAGCAGGCTGTACAGTAAAAGTGCTTGGCAGGGTGGCCACAACATCAATATTTCCAACAGTGATGGGGTAGTGGTCGATAAGGTCAGACAAGGCAAGACTAATATAGACCTCATGGCGAATCTTATGTCTAAGGAAGTAATCTTGGCAATATTGATGTAAGACTTACTGCAACCTCTGGGGGGAAAGTGATACTGCAATCATAATACTGATACCTCATCATAAGTCAATGAGTCAGCCAAGAAGGCCATTTCACAGTCAATCAATCCTTGTTGTAGACAGGGAAATCAGCCGGAGAGATGGAAACATTTCGTACAAGTATTAAAGGAAGAGCAGAGTTGGGCAGGAATAGTTTTGCCAGTGAGGTCCACCAGGTAGATAATGCATGAGCTTGGGACTTCAATGTAACTGAGACAAGGTGTGAACAGCCAAGGCTGCAGAAGGAAACTTTGACTAGTAATTTTTGGAGACACTGTTGGAAGAGAAGGGAACTGTCAGAGTAATGAGTTGTAGGGAGAATCACAAGAAATCAATCCCACTTGGCTGACCTAAAAAGGGTTGTCAAAAGGTTTGTAGAGGTGGGAATTGTCCAGCCATCAGGGTCCCCATGAGGGGTAAGGGCTAGACCATTACCAAAGAGTAGAATACATTGCCCATGGCTTTCTGAGGCAGTTCATGAGTGGTACAAAGTCAGGTTTTCATCCTTTCAACACAGCTCTCATACATTAGGAAGTTAAGGAAGGGATTACAGAGGATATGGAAAAGGAATGGGGGAGAAAAAAAGACAGTGCAAAACTGCTTTAGCCGAGGACTAAGGCCTAGGATAGAGAAGTTCCCAACATTGGGCCCTTAGAGTGTCTCTCAACCCACAATGGGAGCAATTTTACAAAATCCATCAAAAAAGTTCCAATTGGTTTTATCAAAATATCTAGTAAATCTTTGGAAGTCCTACCTGTAGAAGGCTAACTGAATAGCCATCTGTAGAAAACTGTCTGGACTAAGCCTTTGTGACTTAATGAAGGAAGTTCCAAAACCAGTGAAGAGGAAACAAGTCATTTCCAAGTCTT